TCATGGAAAACCTGCATCACAAATCTTGCATTCTTCCAGACCCAGACATTTTTACATTTGATAGACAGTATCGGACTCCGACGCGAGCAGCCGAACCGCCGTTTATGGATGTGTCAGGATCGAAATCGACAAAATCGAAAAATTTGTGATGCGTAAAATGTAGGGCACTCGAGGCCTGTATTGGGGAGCAGGCAAATGAGACAGATTGTAAGCCTGTTTAGGGGTATGCAATGTGCTGCCAGAGTACCATGACAGGAGCAGTCTTCTTTGCTCAAACAGCATGACAGACAGGATTTCGGTGCTCCCGAAATTTGTCATGCGCCGCTTGCAAACTGAGGATCCAACTGGTATCGATTTTATGCATCACAAGTTTTTCGATTTTATCAATTTCGATTCTGACACTTCCATACCGTTTACGAGAACGATAACGGGTCTTTTTTGTCTGGCAGCAGAGCGAATGGCGGCGCGGATTCCGGAGTGTTATCCCGTGCAAAAGTATGGTACTCGTATTGCAGTCATGCATTACAAATCTTTTTCTTAAGGTGAACCCGCATTACAAATTTTATTTCTCATGCTAAGGAAATTTGTAATGCATTTATACGAGTACGATGCTTTTGCAGTTCATAAGTCTATGGAAGCGACAATTGTAACCACGGAATGTGTATCAAATACAAAAAAAATGTCTGGGTCTGGAAGGTTGGAAGACTTGTCATGCAGGTTTTCTATGGTGCGTGCGGTCTGTCATACATGCCCCAGCATGACAGACTCATCTCCCCGACCTCTATCATGCCTCGTTTGCATGAGAAGCTCCCTCTCAGCTTGGTCAAAAGTGGACAGCTTTTGGTAATCATGCAGCACAGATTTCTGCAGTATCCAGAATTACCATGACAAGTTGCGATCTTCCAGACCCAGACAGCTTTGCAACGCATAGTGTGCATCATGGGAGCACTAGAGAGTGGGATGACCTCCGCGGTGGTCGTATTATTTGCAAAAACGTCCCCACACCAGAGTCAAGATGGGAAATCTGCTAGACAAATCAGCCACCTTTGGTCGTTTGGCATGACAAATTTGTCCTCGTAGTGTCATCCTGTTTAGGTAGTTCAGCAGCATCTTAGATCTAGTATATCATGCTGATTATAGCATCACAAATTCCAAACACGCATAGAAAATGCTTCTCATGTTGGGGCTCCGCATGAGAAACATTTTTGGCATGCAGATTTGCATGACAACTCTGGGGTGGGGACGTTTTTGCTCAGGATAGGACGACGCAACCAGATTTATTGGTCCACGTACAAAACAAGAAACCACAGTGCAGGAGGTCGCGCGGAACGAACTGGCGCGATCTATGGATTGCAAAAATGTCTGGGTCTAGGAGGTTGGAACTTGTAATGCTATCTTTCCATACCTAGAAAATCTGTATTGCATAAACAACAAAAGTCGCAGCCTCTTTTGTACATGCCAAAACGCATTTTTTTATGCGGATTGCCTATGAAAAAGCGTTCTGGAAAGTTATCATGCTGGGTTGCATTCGGAACTCTTCCCATCATCCACATTGTAGCATCACAAGTTTCCAGACCCAGACATATTTGCATTTGATACGATCCAAGCAAGAGCAAGATCGGCGGCGCGAGCGGAGGGAAAATATCCGGGAGAGACAGGAAAACGTGCGGTACGACCTGCTGGCCATGTTGCGAATGCGGCTCACGAGTGTGGTTGGAGGTGATTCCTCGGGAGGTGGCAACGGGATACTGTCGTCCGCGAGCGTGGGAACTGCCGACCGGGCTGCAGTATGCCTTGCAAAAGTATCGTACTAGTAGAAATCGCATTACAAATTTGCTCAGCATTAGAAACGGATTTTGTAATGCGGATTTACCTGAATAAAAAGATTTGCAATGCATGAATGCGATTAGTACTACGAGTGCGGTGCTTTTGCACAGCATATGCAGGCCGATCGAATGGAATCGGGGCGGGGGCCGCGCCCGATCATGAAGGTCCTTCTTACGAGCGCATATTACAATGAAAAACTACCTCGCCTCCCCATACTCAAATGGAGATTTGTGTAGCATGATTTGTGATCACAAGTCCCGCTGTGATGCTACAACGAAAGAGATCCAGACCGTAGGGCTGGCTGACCTGAGTCAGCCTTGCGTCTTCAGCATGACAGGAAGCAACTGGAAGCGGGAAAGAGCATGACAAATTGCCTGCAAGTGAGGCCGCGTCTGCGTCTCTTGGCCTTCTAGCAATACATGTAAATTTGTGCACTCAAATCCAGCATCACAAATCTCCTTTTCGATACAGGGAATGGGGATTTTTCCTCACGATAGCGCAACGAGGTAACCATCATCCAGGATGTGCAAGAGTTGTGGGACGTCGGAGTGCGTTCTTCAGGCCAGTCTATTAACTGCAAATATGTCTGGATGTCTGGAAGAATGCAAGAACTTGTGATGCTGCATTTGAATTCCGGAAAACTCTGTATTGCATGAGCAGCAATAGCAAATAAGAGAATGTAACTTTTGCTACGCGGTCGTAGGGGCATTTGTCATGCGGAAGAGGCATCAAGAAGCGGTCAAAGAGTCAGTGATGCTGGGGCATGCATCACAGACCGATCATGCTTCATGCAAAACGTGCATGACAAGACCCAGACATATTTGCAGTTGATACAGTCAATGTTGGACGAGGAAGATATCGGCGACGAGGACCAGCTCAAGTATGACAGTGCACAACTACTCCCCCTCCCCCTCATTTGCATCGCATAAACAGCAATACAAGCGTCAGCAAGAATGCAGGTTTTGCATGAGAAATTCGCACAGGAAGTTGGTCGTGCTATTCATTGAGATGCCAAAACTTGTCATGCAAACAGTGCAAAGAGGCACAGTGTTGGTTTTGTATTTTGCATAGACAAATGATGGGGAGGGGTAAGTACTTCTAGTTGTGCACTCTCATAGCAAGCCGAGGTCGGACAGTGGATCTCGAGGGCCAGTAGAGCAATCAACCTTCGCTAGTCCTCTTACCGACAAAAACCTGCATATCCTGAGTAAAATAAAACGTACCCACACCAGTCTCAGGATGGGGATTTTGCAACACAAGCCTAGGAGTTTTGTGAGTCACGCATGACAAGTTTCAGTCCGTAAGGTGGTGCAAGTTAGCAAGGAAAGCCGCGTCACAAATCGATCTGCTGATCCTGTTTACAGCATTACAAGTTCCCAAACACGATTGAAAATGCCTGTCATGGGGTTGCGCATCACAAATGTTCCTGTCATGGCAAATCTGCATGACAACTCTGGTGTGGGGACGTTTTTACTCAGGATACTGCACAGCCTTGCGTCCAGGACGAACCTTGCGTGTTCAAGGAACATATCCAGTGCAAAGGTCTCGTACTCGTAGTCATTGCAGTTATGCATTACAAATCTTTTTCGTTATGTCAATCAGCATTACAAATTCCATTTCTCATGGTGAGGAAATTTGTCATGCAATTCATACTAGTACGATGCTTTTGCATTTGATAGAACACAGCACGCGGTGTCCACCCGGGACAGCAGGTCGTCCGGGTTTTTGATCTAGCAGGCAATCCTATAGTAGATGATAAGTGGACGTCGACCACGAGCGGCGCCGCAGGTGGGAAGAACAATAAAACTACCACTACAAAAACTTCTTCCGCTGATGTGCAAGCACTAGTAGAGCAGCACGCGGACGCAAAGCCGGCACCTGTAGCTGCTCCGTCGAAAATGAATAAAGTGGATGAAGAACATATCCCACGAAAAAACTGTTTCACTGTGATGGTTTTGCAAGATCCGCATCACAAGTTTGCTACACATGACACAGAAAATTTGCCGTGCGCGCTTTCCAAGGGAAAACGCGCTTAAAAATCCAATAGCTTGCAGGTGTAGCAAGACAAATAGTTCTGCGTTCTATTCTATGCATCACAAGTTCATAGTGAAACAGTTTTTTCTTGCGATAGAACACCGGTCTGGGGTCGAGGATGTTGAGCTGCGTAATTGTGAAGAACCGTCGCCAAGAACGTCGTCGACCCGTCGTCACGGCAAAGATGATGAACAAGAAACGGCCGCCCGTAAGAATCATACTGAAGCTGCAGGTACAGGATCTAATACAGGTGCAGGAGCTCCTCCTGCGCAACAGCAACATCCGCGTGAAGAGGCTGAAAAGACGAGCCAAAGCAGAAGTACCTCTGGAACTTCGGGCGCTCAAAATAACCGGCAGCATGCTGGCGATCCACTTGATAAGATCGATCAAACACCGTCAGGTTGTTGTGCTACAGGATCCGATAGTACAGGAGCTGCAGGACCTACTTCTCCTCCTCCTGCGCCAGAACAGCAATCTAATCATGAAGAGGCTCCTTCTTCTCTAGTTGATAATATCGCCGGACTCTGCGACCAACTGGCGCAGGTCTGCATCAGGAATGCTCCGATTGAAGATGAAAGTCCTGCTCTTGTTATGGACCCAATTGTTCATCTCGGCAAGACCGCTAGTCGTGCAGAAGATGTAGTTGCCAATACCAATGCCAGTGCGGAGCAGCAGGCGAGCCGCAGTAGAAGTGCCTCTAAAACTACTTCGGGCGGCGCTCCGCTTCAATATGCTGGTGGTGGTCCTCCTGGCAAGATCAACCAAACGGCGGCGCAGCACCGTATCGAGTGCAAATATGTCTGAGTCTGGAAGGTTGAGCCTGTATTGCATGTTCCGCATTCCTAAAAAATCTGTATTGCATAAGCAGCAAATAGAGCGCCACGACACGTTCGTCATGCAAAAGCGCAGTTCGTAATGCGTTCTGCGGATGAGAAAGCGTTTGAAACATTTGTCATGCTGCACTGCACTTACAGGCACAGTCAAGCATGACCATTCAGCATTACAAGTTTTTCGACATCCAGGGATATTTGCAATCCTCCATAGACCACCATGATCCACAACTTCCCCCGCTGAGTTCTTCCGACCCGACGTTGATGACAACTACAGGAGCTGCGTCACCGGACCTTTTTGCCCCCGAATGGGAACAAGAAGAGGAACAAGGGCGGCCCCTGTGGTCACGCGCGATGTCCGATGAAATCTTGCAGATGCGATCGAGAAGTTCGTGTCGCCAACAACCTGCGGACGGGCGAGGACGTCCACCTACTGGGGAAGTTGCTTCAAATGTTGACCCAGAGCTCCTGCAGCAAGAAGAGGAAGACCCCCTGGAGGCTGCGATGGCTCGAACTCTGTGGCACCGTAGCGTTTCCGACCGCCCAGCCACAAGCACGGGGGCTTTGGAAGCAGATAGCAAAACTGGGGGTCTTCATCTCACGTCAAATTACAAGGAGCTCCTGAAGACGATGCAGATGGACTACAAGATAAACACGCCGGCGAAAGTTCCGAGTAGAGTCGCGGCGGATCCGCTCTATAATTTTGGCACGGGACGAGCAGGTGTAGTGGCAAGGACGGAGAGTGGCGGGCGGGGAATCAGGGAAACCGAATCTTCCCTCCGACTCCAAACGGGCGATCATCTTCAAAGCCAGCAATCTAGCGCAACTCCCGCTGCAGCAGTTGCGGTGCCGCATCAACCGCCAGCATCAATTTTTCCATCTCCTCTTCCCGCGGCGAGAGCCCCGTCTTCGCCGGCAGCTCGGGGCGGGACTAGCCACAGTGCTCCGGGGCAGCTGCAAGCGCAACTACACCAGGGGGGAGTTTCCCTACCGCAAGCTGTGACGCCGTCGAGCAGAACGGGGCATCAGCACCACCGGGGCCCCCTACTGGGGGCTGGCTCTTCTACCAGCGGCCATCAAGGGGCTGCTCTACCCGGATCTACTTCGCTGTCCTCGGCACCCCCGCCACTTTCCGCCCGCGCGGCCATTGATCACACGCCTAGTACTATGCAAGATAAAAACTGGGTGAGTGTAGCTGTCTTGGAGTGACAGCATGACAAATTTGCTCTGCATGACAGAGAACAAAACCTGTCATGCACATCAGCTAGTACTAGAAAAAACATATGAAAACAGGACTTCATCATGGCTGGCCAGCATGACAGATGTATCTGTGTTGCGTACTTTGCATTGCAGGCTTACATCTACACAGTTTTCTTCTTGGATAAGTACGCGGTCTGCCGGTTCGAGCAACACTACGGCAGCGGCCTCGGGGTCGGGACTATCAACTGCAAAAATGTCTGGAAAATTGGAACTTGTAATGCTAGCTCTGCATTACTGGGAAATCTGTATTGCATAAGCAACAAAGGACGCAGCCACTTTTGTCATGCAAAAACGCAGTTTCTCATGCGGACTTCCTATGAGAAAGCATTCTGGGAAGGTGTCATGCTGAGCTGCATGCAAAAGTGTTGCCATCGTCCACATTTTAGCATCACAAGTTTCCAGACCCAAACATATTTGCAATGCATAGGGGCCGTCTTATAGCAAAAGTTCGGCTAGCTCCTTCGCCCGCGTTGGTGAGCGCCTCATGACCGCAAGGGAAACGCGTCGCACGACCGTGGTACCACATCAACAACAAGGTGTTGTTGACTCGAGCACGACGTTGCAGCACGGCGGTTTAACATCAAGCGGCCATGTTCATATCTCGTCGTCGTCCGCTGCAGCGCAGGCTCAAGAACCCTCGGTGACGGGACGGCAGGTGACACTAGGAGCTGTTCCTGCTGTATCAGATTCTCAAGCGTTACGTTCCACTGATGTTACGTGAAATCTCATGCAAAACTACCCCAATCCGCCGGACAGTCAAGCTATTTCGCATGACAAATCTCCGAAGGGCTAAACAGCAATCAAATCTGTGCCAACAAATCTGTGATGCGAAAGCAGCATGATCAACGAAGATTTGCCCCTTTACATAACTGTTTCTGTTGCTGTTCATCTCTTGCATATGCATGTGAAATTCATGTAACAGTAACGGTTGAGAGTGTACTAGTAACGTTTGAGAACGCCATATTCTGCGCCTACAACTCCAGGCGGCAAGCAGCCCGCGCCAATGGTGAAGTAAGTGCTTGTAGTAAGCATCAAGTGACGCGAGTTAACCACTGGTGTACTGCTACTGTTTATTTTCGACTTATCTGATATATTGGTGAACCAAGAAAAAACGAAAACGACGTTGTAATACTATCATCAATTGTAAGAGTCTATTATAGACGACCTACACGAAATAAAAGACCTAAAATTACAAAAAATGCTCTCATATTATTAACCAAACAATTCTACTAGCATTGCTTCATGCCAATATCAGATGAACCTGCGTTTATTTAATGAGACCATATAATACTCGTTTATCGCTTTCTAGTACAGCTGTATGAATCTCGTCGCATTGGTGATTTTTTTGTTACGGCCAGCAGACGGCCGGGAATCAATCGTACATCCGCAAGTTATATCAACTGCAAATATGTCTGGGTCTGGAAGAATGCAACTTGTCATGCTAAATCTGAAGCGTGCAAAAATCTGTGTTGCATGAGTACCAAAAGTCTTCCCGTTTTGACCAAGTCGGGAGGGAGTTTCTCATGCAGGATAGGCATGAGAGAGATCGCGCAGAATCTGTCATGCTAGGTCCTGCATTCCAGGCTTCATGGGTCATGGAAAAGCTGCATGACAAATGGCGCACTCTTCCAAACCCAGACACTTTTTCTTTTACATTTGATAAAAGGACATCGATCACTACGGGCGTTAATCTATGAATTTCGAGCCCGTGCTGGCGAACCGTGCTTAGAAGACTATGGACGTTACTTTATGCTTTTCGGGCACGTGTACGGTTGGTCAAATTCTTGAAAGCTCTTACCTATACCGGAAGGGCACACTTAATGCCTAGAAAATTTTCCTAAGAGGCCGCGTGCAGAGCCTCTATACATGACAGCTTGACGCGCTGCTACTACCTGCGGCAGTTTTTTGTAGATGTAACCATAATTTTTCTTTTTACGATTTGCTTTTGCGAAATACGAAAGTGAGGCCGACTTGTACCAGTACGTTGCGCCGAACAACAGGGCAACTCATTTTTGAAAGCCTAAAAAATTTTATCATACGCTAACAAGAAAAGCAGCTGTACTAGTATTGGTACCTAACATGAAAGAGATAAAAGATGAAGCCTTTTGTTTTCCAAACGGAGTTTTGCTACAACGTTGAAATGAAAATTTACAGCACTACTTTGCCACATCTTCCTTCGATGTGGTCGTGCCCCTAGTTCTTTGTGCTGCAGAAGCGACTGCGATAGTTTTTACGTAACAGCGCATACTATATTTCAACTTGATGTATTTCTAGAGTTGCATGCAATTTTGCACTGCCTTGTGAGGACTTTTACGTTTGCAAAAGTTTACGGCCTCTGTGTCTGTCGCAGAAGAATTACACTCAAGCTGATATTTTTTGCACATAATAACGGAACTTTTTTCTTTCCATGCTCTCTTGTAGCAGGCAATATGAAACAAAATCTCGGCACAACCAGCACAAGAGCTTGAGGTCTTAACACTATATACAATACCATAGGATACAGATAGTACAGAGGAATGAAGATTATACCTGCATTTTCGACGTTGGAAATCACTTTCTAGAAAAACTTTGCTCGTTGTCATGTGAGACGAAGCCACAGCACCTTGCTTTTGCAGCTGTCGAGAGAAAAATTGAATATTGAATCCACACTTCAGTACAATAACTTTTGCACCGATTTTTATACGATAATACTCGACGGACCTCTCACTTGCTGGACAACAGCATGCTGACCGCTTGACGACAACCACAACCACTAAAAGATTACAGACGACTATAACAAAGGTGAAACCATGGACGATTTTTGATTTGAAAGATTGACCATATGGAACTTTCCAATACAGATGACGGGCATGATGACATGTAAATAGGATGAGGCATTCGATGAATATCAAGAAAGTGAAGTGATTTCTTGTGCAGGGGCATCAAATCTTCAAGGCGATGCAAAAAAATGAACAAAAACCGAAAAAACTGATTTTGTTGTCTGAGAATCGCAAACTTGTCCTATTAGATTAGCACTAGACCTGGGTTTATTACTGATGCAGACCTCGCGGCTCGAACGAAGATGATGTTCGACTTCTTCAAATGTGTTCAATGTTGTTGTACCCAACGTCGTATTGTTGTACCCCACACCTCTCCTCGTAGTTGTGCTACGAGCGAGTCCGCGTTTTCTTCCCCCAGGACGTACCCCAAAAAATCTTTTCAGTGCAGCATATGTTTTTTTCTTATAGCGAGTTACGGTGAGGGTGCCGCTACTGTGTGTTGTGCCATCACGAGTTTTTGTTCCTTGTTTTTTTCCGGGTGTGGTCGAGAGTTTTCTTTTGAGAGGAAAGCTATTCTGTTTTTCACCGTCTTCTTGCGCACCATCTGTAAATAAGTTTTTTACATGCAGAACTAGTCCTATCAGCAGAGAGGAACTTGATGATAAACCAAGGAGAGTAAGGATACATCCACGGCCCAAGGCTCCACTATTACTTCCATTGTGGATTTTACCCTGCAATTTTTCCCGAGTAGCAAGGTCTACCCTTATTTCCCAATACCATTTTACTTTCAACCTAGGCTTGTGTCAGAGGCTTCTGATCACACAAACCCCTCGGCCAACAAGGCAGCAATCTTTGTTCAATTTGTGTAGCATAGAAAAGAGGAGAAGCGAACAAAAATCGGAAGATACGATTGAAACGCCCTAAGTTTAAGTCTACCAGAGGAGAAAATGTTGAACAACATCCGCGCGCCGGATGTGCAGCACCTTTTCGACCGGCTCGCCGAGAAGTACTCCGAAAAGCTGGCGAAAAAGAAGCTGAACGCGCTCTGCGTGCAGGCGGCTATGGGATTCTCAATTGTTACGTTCTCAACTGTTCTTACATGAATTTGCGATGCAAGAATGGCAACAGAGAAAGGCCGGATCTTGCAACTCTTGCATTACAAATTCGGCACAGGCTCTCATCCTGTTTAGCCCTTCCAAAATTTGTCATGCGCAGTAGCTTCACCATGTGGACGTTGATGCTCGTTTTGCATGGCAAATCATGTAACTGTTGAGAATGCAACATTTGAGAACGCCATAGCGGCTATGGTGTGCTTTGAGAAGAAACAAAAGGAGGACGAGCGGCAGCTGCGGGTGGCGAGGACCGACGTTCCCAATGATGTTGCGACGACAACTGCGCCGCACTCGGGCGGTAATGCCGCAACTGTCGACACGCTGGGACTACAAGCAGGGCAAAGTACGCTGAGACGGTCGTATCAGGTGGAAATAAATGTACCAGCTCGACGAGAGATGGCAATTTGTCATGCACTCGTCGCAGACGATCGTCTTGAGACGGCACGAAATGGAATTTGTCATGGCAAATAGGCATATATACCTGCATAACAAATTGACATTGCAGGTGGTCATAATAATTTCACCGAGCATAAACAGCCGGAAGCCCCCACGACCAGCTCCAGTTCTAGTTCGTCCAGCAGCCGACCCCCCGCATCTGGTCAAGGCCAGCTGGCTGAAACAAGTCTCGTCCCGGCGGCGATGACAGCTACGTCTGCGCCGGCCGATGCAGCACGACGAGCAGCTGATTCCGTTGCAGTATCAAAAGGAAAAATCCCCCCTCCCCATATCGAAAACGAAATTTGTGATGCTGTATTTGAGTGCAAAAATCGCCTTGCAGTGCTAAAAGGCCACGAGAGGCAGCTGCGGCCTCGTTTGCAGGCAATTTGTCATGCTGCTATCCACTTTCACTGGTTTTCTGTCCTGCTGAAGGCGCAAGGCTTTCCCATGCAAGCCAGCATTACGCTCCGCATCTCTCTCTGTCCTTCTAGCACGAGAAAGCTGATTTATGACCACAAATCTGCATCACAGATTTTCGTTTTGGTATGGGGAGGGGGGATTTTTCTTCTTGATATGCAGCGGCTGTGACTCCTGCGCACCAAAGCGGACCAGTCCCATGGAATAATCACGAGCAGAGCACGAGCACGTTGAACTTGCAACAGAACATAGTACCGGAATTGTTCACGAACGGGGAAAGCGAAACAAGTGTGGCGGCAGCGGCAGTTGGTAGTTCACAAGACCGAGAACAACCGAATTTGTTGGTACCACCGACGACGGCCGACGTGCCTCCTGGTGGTGTGGCCGCAGCGACGACACAGGAAAAGATCGGTATTTGATAGGAAAAATGTGTTCTAGAAGTTTAACGAATTTTAAACGCCAAACCATACCAGCCCTGTTTAAAGCTGTTAATAAACTTGAAGCAGATCAACGACGACGAGAACCCGAACAGCAGCACCTTCAAAGGTTCAGACTTTCAGCGCTCACGCACTGGAGCGCTATTATTTCACTTTCTTTCATCTCTGGCTGTGACCTTGTTCTGTGGCGTGGTGGTGCGCGCTTAGCAAATCAGCAACGTTCTCAAAGTCCAGTGTAAGTGCCAAGCACTGCGAGCTTGGCAAAAACGATCCACCAAGGTGAGGCCCCTGCCCCCAGAGGGAAAGGACAGACCCGGGAGGAGCATCTATAGCACAAAGAGGTGGATCGGCCAGCACAGCACAAGGCTGGGCCGACGTCACTCAACACGAACTCCATGCCCGGATCTGCGCGGAAAGTGCGCTGCGAGGCCGCAGCGAGTGCAGTAAACGTGGCAGGGACCCCCAAAAAAAAATTCCACATGGCGCACCGATTTCGCTCGGCGGTCGAGCTAGGTCACAGCCAGTTCGCATCTATTGAGATAGCCCCCCCGAAGGAGG